AGAATAATAAAACTATTAGTTTTATTAATGAATATGATAAATATATAAGATTCTTGAAAAACTGAATGCTCTACAGGAAAGGGAACATGATGTTTTGCCGCAGGTGTCAAAGTTTTGCATGGGGAGCTTCCTTAGCACTTGACATGTGTGCCTTCTTATGTGGTCCTAAGGAGAGTTCTGTACATTTGCTGATCTGGAAGAACAATGCAGCAATTCAGCACTATAGATCATTCTGGCCTCCAACAGAAAGTAGATCAGAGAAAAAGGTGTTCTCTGTTAAGTGACACCAAGAATACCTAATGATCCAAGAACATCTCACTTTTGTGGCATTGAAGCCAGGATGTCAGCTTGGTCCATGCATTGATATGCCTGGCGTGTTTGTGCCTTTTTTTAAACAGTGGGGGCTGCTGCTTTATGCTAGCAAAAGACATAACTTTGGAACACAAATATCAATGTATCTCAAGTCAGAAAGCAAGGAAAGAATGATTGGCCCAAGGAAGCTAGGTGACCAGTATATACCTTCCAGAATTAATCCCCATGTGACCTATATCTGGCTCTGTCTGAGAGGATGGGCCAAAAGATTCACTTACTCAGTGCTTTTTTCACATTTGCCCAAATCTCCTAATAAATGTAGCATACATAATATAGCATAAAGTGTCCTTAGTATGGTATATTGGAATGAGGAGACAAAGAACTGTATTAGCATTGTGGAGTAGCTTGTGTGTTCCTAAGTAAAATTTATCTTCTGCACAGAGGCTTCAGTTTCTTCGTTTATAAAATGAGGAGGCAGGGAGGGATAAGGTAATCTGTTAAATTTCTTTCCCACTTTTGAGTTGTAATCATGGAAATTTCTATAATAACATTTAACATTAAGAGTTCTATAAATAACATTTGGTTCTGATCTAGACTGAAAGTGTGTTCAAATTCTTGCTCTACAACTTACTAGCAGTGTGACTTTGCCCATGTTACTGAACTTTTATGAATCTCAGATTCTATTTCTGTAAAATGGAGCTAATAATACTTTTTTTATTTTTTTTGTGGAAAGACAGCTCAATGGCTAGCACAAAGTCATTCTATGAGAAATGAAGACATGGTAATGATGATGATGCCATCAATGATTCTGTTTACCACAGTTTTTCATAAAAAGTCACATCACATGTTCAATGTCCCTGTGCTGTATAGTGTATGTATTAGTTTCCCAGGGCTGTTATTATAAAGCACCGTGAACTGAGTAGCGTAAGCTGTCAGAAATTTATTCTCACAATTTTAGAGGATAGAAGTCTTAAATCTAGGTGTTGGCCAGGCTGGCTCCTTCTGAAGGTTCTTGGGTAGAATCTGGGCTACTCCTTTCTCCTAGCTTCTAGTAGCTGCTGGAAATCCTTGGCATTTCTTGACTTGCAGTTACATCCCTCACACTCTGCTTCTGTCTTCCATATCCATCTTCCCTCTCTGTGTGTATCAGAGTCCCCATGTCTTCCTAGGATCTTCTTATAAGTACAATAGTCATTGATTGAGGGCCCACCCTAATCTAGCATCACCCCATTTTAACTTGAATACATTGTCAAAGACAACTATTTCCAAGTAAGTTCACATTCTAAGTTAGTAGCAGTTAACACTTCAATGTATCTTTTTGGGGAACACAATTCTACACAAACTAGTCTATGGGGAACTGTACAAATATAAAGCAGTGAAGTCATGATTTCTGATAGTGATGATCACAGGTTATGCAAAATCAGAATACAAACTAGTGACTTAACTGGATTACCTTGATCTCTCTATATGCCCATTGCTTATAGAAATCAAGTCAGGGAGGATTTTGGTTACACTCAATGTCATAGATCACTAAAGTCATCTGAGTTTTCCAATTTTGGGGAGTAGTCTGTGTTCCTAAATGACTTTTGATTTCCCCCAAAATTTGTGTCTCGGCTGTCTTTGGAAATAGTGACTGCTGAAGACAGTGAAATTGTCCTTGAACTCAAAAATGACCCATTTTCAAAATGACTGCTGATTTTGTGTCTGTCAGGCTCTGAGTCAGATGATTTATTCTTATTCAGTGGCTTGTCTCTGGTGCGACTCCTCCTGATAGCTCAGAACTGCTCCACCTGCTCCTCGGCCCCACTGACAAGAGCCAGGTCCTAATGCTGCATGACAAATTGCAGCACCAAACTAGTTTACTTCTGAACCACTGAGCAGGAATCCCTTGATTTTAAACCCATCAGCATCATGCCTTCAATTGCCATTTCCTTAGCAAGTGTGAATTTGAGGGGCATAGTTCTCAAAGCCCTCAAGATGTACGATTTCCGTAAGGATGCCAAATTAATATGACATTTAGGAAGGGCTCTCAGCTAAGAAAGACATATTTCCTAGGAACCTCCAAGTATCTCCCTCTCCAAACACATGAATTTATGATCCCATGTGTGAGTTGCTGGGCCAGCAGATGATGATAGCTGACAAGCTATCTTCGATTTATTTTCTCTTGTGTCCAATACACTCGGAAAATAATATTTTGTTGTTCACTAAATTGGAACTTCAGTTCTACCAATGAATGTCTGAGCTTACCAAATGTCTACTGTTTTACTGTCTTCTTCTCCCATAAACATATCTGAAATGTTGTCTGCAGACGTAACTTTCAGGATCAGCATTGTTCCAAGGTCAGGGCATGGCACTGAAGCTGCCTGGTTTCCATTGAGGATTGATATGATTCTGGCCATTCCCCTCTATTCTTTTATGAAATCTTGGGATTATTCAGCCTTTTCTAGGATCTTAAATCTATATTTCTATCCATCATCTATCTATTGACCTGCTTATCTATCATCTATCTGTAATATTATGTTATTTCTTTGAATATATAAAATATTAAAATTTTGAATAGACAAATCTGAAAGACTAGAAATATTAATGGTGGTGGATTTATTTCCAGAAATAATAAACATCTTTTTCTTCTTGAGCTTCAATTTCCCCAATTTCCTTTTGTTCTCATTATTCTTGAACTCTTGCATTCAATTAAGCCTTGGATACCCTACTAAATTTTAATCTTCTTGATGTTTTACTTATTTTCTCCATTATGGTATATTTTTCCAGATTCTAGCTCTTTTTGCCTTTCTGTTTTCATTCCTCTCTCCTTCTCTCCTGTCCTCCATCCTTGTCTTCTTATCTCCCTTCCTTTTCTACCTCTTTTATAATTCAAAAATAATGAAAAGCATATAATGAAAGAAGTAGAAGAAGGATAAGAGGAGGAGAAGGATGAGAAGAAGGAGGAGGGGGAATAGAGGAGAGAAGTGGAGAGAGAGAGAGAGAGAGAGAGAGAAAGGAAAAAGACATAAGGGAAAGAAAAAAGAAGCATAAAGTGGTAAGATGAGAAGATGGGAACAGGGAAGAAGAAAATACCTAACTACAAGGCTTAATATTAGTGGGCAATAGATTTAGCACTGAATGCTTGTCCAGTGAACACTAAAAGGGAAATATGACTAATTGAAAAATATACATTGTTGCTAACATAAAATCATACCATTTGCTTAACAAAATGGAAAAATATTAGTTTGAAACTACAGTAAGATAAAAATTTCTTGATTGAATATCAACCCCTAAACTGACTTTCAATAACCAAAAGTTTAGATGTAATCACTTCAATTCAATGGGAAGTGAAGCCGACCACTTCACTGAGGCACTGACCGCCCAGTGCAAAGCTGTATTTCCAAGCTCTGCTGCCGGAAGGCTCAGTAATAACACAGAATCTAGAGTTCCAAGACCTAGGCTTACCTGTTTTTATCACTCACATGTTCTGTGTCGTTGGGCAAGCCTTCTTATCTCTTTGTTTCTCATGGGAATAATGAAAAAAAAAACCTCATATACATACAAGTGTTATCATTAGTTATTAATTATTGTCATCTCAAATTGTTATGTTCCAAATACATTTGAAGTCTCAGATAACACCGTTTTTCAGTCTATTGTAATATTGTTAAAATATTTGATTCCATTAAGTTAACTGAATATATTGAATATTACATGGAAAAACTTTAAGTGCTTTTTAAAAAATGTTCAAGGGCTTTTATTTTCTGGTTTTCAGGTCAAATTTTTGGATCACAGATGTTACAAAAATACATATGGAGGGCATCCACTGCAACAGCTCAATATTCTTTTAGATTACGTTTTAAGAAAAAAAAAGAGAACAAAAAACTTACAACAACACCTGCTATTCAGCAGAATTTGACCTGACCCCTTTCTCCTTTTCTTGTTATTATAAACATCAAGCTCTTTAAGTGAGAGCTGTTTAAAGGACTGAGGGCTGTGAGTGTTCCTTCCTAGATCCCAGATGCATTGGGAGACGGATGGACTTTTTGATCTTTATTTTATGAGTGTCTGATAAATTGCCTCTGGCACCTGGCAACTGAAATTTCACTATCTGAAAACTAACCCTCATGTCAAACAATGTGACCAGCCTCAGCCTCTCACTTGAGGATCTCTGTAGCTGGGTGGAGGATGCCTTACACTTCCTGGACAGGTCTACCACCATGCTCAGGGATTTACATACTTTTAATTTTAGAGGGAAGGAAGGATTATTAAAGGGCTTTATATGCTATGCAAAAATGTGTTTTTTGAAAGGTTTCATCATAACTCCCATTCTAAGATTTTTGAATAAGTCAAATAGAGACTTCGGCCCACTGTCTGGCCTGAAAAAAAAAAAATGCTGGTAACAGGATAAAGATTTGTAACTTTGGGTCATGAGCCTCTCCTCACTAAACTCCATCTGTGTGTTGATATAAGAAGAATGCAGGTGGTCTTTTTCTGGGAACAGCAAAGCTATAAACAAAGTCATCAGCTCAGGCTATTATCACCTTTCTTTTAACATCTTATCCGGGGGCAAGATTGACTCAACCCCAAGGAAGGGCTCTATAGTTTTCTCTGTTTACAGAGATTCAAATATGCAGATATTTAAATTTTTTAGAAGAGAGAAAAATAACGAAATGATATAAACCCTCTGATATTGTGCTTCTTCAAAGGGAAAGAAGCCTGAGAGAGCAATGATGAATGAAAATATTAATCATCACATATCTTCCATTGAATATATCATCATCATGGTGGGAACACAGGTCCCGTGACTTGAGACACCTATGTATGTGCCATATTACCACTTGTCACTCTTTTTTCCTCTTCCTCTACTTTCCAAACTTGTCTGTTTAGAAATAGTTGTTACACCTGAAAGACAATATGTGTACATTTGCTCTCTTCTGCCAATCTTGGAGGAAGTTTTTGTTCATCTTTTACCAAGTTTCCTTCCGGGTTGCTGCTTTATGTACTTTTTGAGATCTCTCACAGAGGTCTAATCCTGTTGACTAGATCGAATTGAGTTTGGACAGGCTAAAGTTTTGTTTCTATTTCTTTCTGTCTCTCAATTTCCTTCTTTCTTTTTGCAGCCAACAAGAGATTTTTAGTTTAGGCTTGGCTGTCCGAAATACAGTAATACTGGTATAAAAACAGCAATACCCTAGGTCAATCATTTACTTACCTAACAGCATTTATTTATTATGTATTGAGCAAGCAAAAATTATTATGTTCAATCCTGAGTTTACAGAAGTAAATTGGATATATATCTTGCCATCAGGGGACTCACAGTCTCATGTGAAAAACAAACATGTACACAAATAAGTAAAAGATAATTTTTGTCATTGCTTTCTTAGAAGTCTATATTTGGAAGAATGAGGCTACAAAGGGGCAAGAGGGGAAATTTACAGGTGACATATGTGCTGAGTCTTGAAAATTGAGGAGCTATTCCTCAGTAATAAAATCCAGGCAAAAAGAGCCACCGAGCAATGCATGGACTCTTAAAAGGACATGAGAGGTGGGGGAAGCAGGAAGCAGGTTGAAATGAGTGGATCACTGAGCTTGGCCTAGTGTGAGATGACACATCCACAGAGGGACATCTGGTTCATCAATCCTGGCAGGGTTTGGATGCTGTGGTGAAAATTTACAGGTAGAAAAAAAAAAAAAAGAAAAAATGAAATTCAGAGCTTATGCATCTTTTTTTTAAAAAAAAAGTGACAAAAGGATATTTAATGATACAAGTTAGTTTTGAAAGAAAAATTATTCCATCACTAATATACATCTAGGACATCCATGACTATGATCTGTCATGTGGTGAAAATAGAATTTTAAGGTGAAATTCTAGGAAGAAATCAAGGCTTTGGGTTAATGTCAGCAAACCAATAATAAATGTGGATCCTAAAGTTTGGGATTCTTATTGGTTTTGGCTCTTACACAATAAAACAATAAAACCAAGCAACACAAAGTTGGGGTAGGCATGACAGATAGAGCAGTAGACTGTAGGGCCAGAGACTGGAATCTGCTCCTGGTTCTGCCACCAAAACACTCGATGGATTGAGGCAGTTTCTTGACCATTCTGGGACCTCAGTTTCTTCATTTTATATTTCCCCTTGGAAACACTTATTATACTTGCCATGATTCATGTGTGTATATTCCACTAGATTCTAAGGTCCAAGAGCACAGGAGACATGTGCTGAAAGTGATTTTTCTTTTCTGCATGTTTTCGGAGCCCTGTCAGCTCAGGCATGTGGATATGTTTCCAAGGCTTCAGGCTTCAGGTTTTGCTTTACTTATGACTTCATGTTACAGCTTCCTTCCTTCCTCCCTTCCTTCCTTTCTTCTTTCTTTTCTTTTTTTCTTTTTTGGTACTGTGATATCCTCTATAGAACAGAGACTGAAATGTACCATTTTCTTTCCTAGGTGCCTCTGAGAGGGTGAATGGAAGCTGGGCTTTCTCCACGGGGTTCTAAAGAGTTTGGACACATAGATTCAGAGGCATCTTTGGATGATCATACAGGGCTCTTAAACATCTCCCTGTGGAAGAGAGCAGTCCATGCTGCCAACTCCCAGATTCTCATCCTGGGAGATTGGGAGAATACCCTGTGTCATTTCCTGTCCCCTGAGTGCTGCCAATACACATGCAGGTATGAACTCTCGTTAAACCTGGGGTCACCTCAGCACTGAAAAAGCCAAACCCTAATTTCCTCTGAATGTAACAATTTAATTACTAAAATCAAAATATGAGTGACATTTCCTCATTAATAATTCCTCCTAACCATGTAAAGCCAGACAGAATTTAAAGTACTGGGGTGAATTGACTAAACATACACACAACAATGTGAGTGATGCAAACTCATAAAAACGTATAACTGTGTCTTATATATCAATAACTGATAAGTATAATACAAACTCTTGGTCTTAAAAAGTTTGGATCTGTAAGCTCTGTATTGGACCCTCCCAAAATATATGAAAGATTTCAGAATGATAAGAAGTCCACAGTCAGTTGTTTGCACTGGCATTTAGAGTGTTGACTAGAAATTGTGATTTAACAGCTACGTTTTGTGTGTGTGTGTGTGTGTGTGTTTATATAAAAGAAGATTGCTTATAAAAGTAAGTATTGGTTTGGGAAGTAATAAGTTTAAAAATAATAAAATTGTTGCATTCAGCCTTCCCTCTGGCTTTTCTCCTCTTGTCTCTGTGGGTTAGAAAAAGTGAAGCTGTCAGGAGTAAGCAGACTCCTATTGTGCTGAGTGGAAATAGTGTGTTGTTTTTTTCTTTCTTTTCTTTTTTTTCATCCTTTCTGTTGTTGATAGTTACACTGGGTTTTGGACCCAGGAATGCTTCAAAAAATATTTGCTGAATGAATGGAATGCCTACAATGTCTGCTGACATGTAAGATCTTTAGCTAGGTGACCTGGGAATTAGGCATTGTAGATTAACTCGTACAATGCATTATTTAAAAAATTTGCTTCCTGTTAAAGAAATCAGGTAAGAGAACCTGAGATAACAAAGACAAGGGCTGCCACTCCAACCAACCTCATCTCTCTGTCAGTTAGGGGAAGGGTGGCATGGGATCATACACAGAGAGGATGTGGTGTAGATATGTGTGTAAATACATATGTGGTGCGAGTGTAGAAGCACATGACACATGTGTAACGTGCAGAGGCAGCTTACTCTAGGGAGAAAGAAATGGGAATCTGACACTTTTTGTATTGCCACTTTCCCTCAGAAATCAGAAGTACGAACATCTGTAATGTGTCAGGGAATGCAGACATTTGAACATGTCTGGTTTTGATATTATTAAATGACCAATTTATTAAAGTAATTGAAGGGATGAAAGTGTGGCTCTCCCCACTTTACAGATAAGCTGAGATTGAAGTGTGAGATGGTACAGTCTAGCCAGGTTAGAACTGGATGACCTGCTGCTGATGAGAGGTAGCTGAAAAATAGTTCTACTTTAATTGTTTTATTGTCTACTTTATGTTATCAGTACTTCTGGGAGAGAAGAGTTATAGATAACAAAAATGATAGAACCCATGTGCCTAAGAAGCCCCTGTCAAAAGGCATGAGATGCTTCTTGGGCATATCACATTTCATTTAGCAAGATTCTCTCTTAGAGTGTCTGAAAAAATATGCGGGAAGGTCTTGTATGTACTTTTAACACACGGTCTGTAGAGAAGGATTTAATCAAAGGTGCAGCAAACAGTAATTAGAAATGAAATAGTACTTAGAAATGAAGAGCTCACCAAAGTTCAGCCTTTGCAGTGTTTAAAGGATCATTTATGACCTCTAGAAGGGCAGATGTTTTCTTACTTTTGGAACTTCTTTAGACAGATGACGGATGTGCTCTTGCAGTAACAGGTTCATTCATGCAGTGTGGTCATTGAGGAAGGACCCAGTCATCAGAGAGGCCTGGGCTAACATTTTGGCTTAATCGTTTAACAGCAGAGTGGTGAAAATGGATTTTATCTGTGTCTGAATCTCAGTTCTGTTGCCTGCAAAATGAAAATAATATACCTGTTATATAGTGTGAGATTAAAGGAGATAATACAAATTTCAAAACGTAATACAATGCCTGGTAAGTGCTCAATAATGATTCACTTTTATAGTTTTAATCATACATCATCAAATCTAAGACATCAACAATGATAACTTGACCACCAGATTTAATGATAACATGCCACGGTATGGCTTAAATATGCTATTTTTATTATATCTTTAACCATTAATATACTCTAATCCATATAATAACTATTAATTTCCTCTTTAGGCGCATCATCAATATTTGAGGTGAATCCTGCCAATATGCAATCTAAACTTCTTCTGAATCAATTTGGCCACTAAGGATTTTAGAGAATACCAGGTGACATTCTCCTTTCTTAACTCCTGCTTGTTATCTTGACACAGCACCTTTACTACTGGCAGTAAAATTTGAGGTTTGTCATAGGAGACCAAGTTACCTTTTTCTTTTTCTTTTTTTCTTTTTCTTTTTTAAATTTTTGCATCAGTTGAATTACCTCCTCCAGGAAGTCCAGTAGTCTCTTTTGAGAGAAGCCAGAACATTGCTGACAAATTTCTGATGCTTGAAAGACAGTACTTTTTGTCTGGGAGGGTGTAGAAGAGCTTGGGAGTTAGTTTGTTTACCTGTCTGTCATCCTGTCTTGGTCCTAAACTACTGCTCTGTCCCCACTGTCTTTCCAGCATGAGAAAGCTTAGCTAATTTTGAAAACTATAGAATTTTACTGACATTCATTGAATTGTCTGACATGTGACAAACAATCTGCTTACATTTTAAGCAAACAAAAAATACTTCTCTTTCAGTGTTGCTTTATAGTATAATCATCAATGTGTGGTTTTTGTTTGTTTGTTTGTTTGTTTGTTTGAGAAAGAGTCCTGCTCTGTCGCCCAGGCTGGAGTGCAGTGGCACGATCTTGACTGACTTGCAAGCTCCACCTCCTGTGTTCACACTGTTCTCCTGCCTCAGCCTCCAGAGTAGCTGGGACTACAGGTGCCTGCCACCACAACTGGCTAATTTTTTTTTTTTAACTTTTTAAAATGTATTTATTTATTTATTTTATTATACTTTAAGTTCTAGGGTACATGTGCACAACGTGCAGGTTTATTACATATGTATACATATGCCATGTTGGTGTGCTGCACCCATTAACTCATCATTTACATTAGGTATATCTCCTAATGCTGTCCCTCCCCCCTCTCCCCTCCCCACAATAGGACCCAGTCTGTGGTATTCTCCTTCCTGTGTCCAGGTGATCTCATTGTTCAGTTCCCACCTATGAGTGAGAACATGCGATATTTGGTTTTCTGTTCTTGCGATAGTTTGCTGAGAATCATGGTTTCCAGCTGCATCCGTGTCCCTACAAAGGGCACGAACTCATCCTTTTTTATGGCTGCATAGTACTCCATGGTGTATATGTGCCACATTTTCTTAATCGCAGTCTGTGCACTGCGATGGACATTGGGTTGATTCCAAATCCTTTGCTATTGGTGAATAGTGGCCGCATAAAACGTACGTGGTGTATGGTGTCTTTATAGCAGCATGACTTATCGATCCTTGGTATATCCCAGTAATGGATGGCTGGTCAAATGGTATTTCTAGTTCTAGATCCTTGAGGAATTGCCACACCTGGTTTTCCCACAATGGTTGAACTAGTTGCAGCACGTCCCAACCAACAGTGTAAAAGTGTTCCTATTTCTCCACATCTTCTCCAGCACTATTGTTTCCTGACTTTTTAATGATTACCATTCTAACTGGTGAGGATGATATCTCATTGTGGTTTTGATTTGCATTTCTCTGATGGCGAGTGATGATGAGCATTTTTTCATGTGCCTGTTGGCTGTGTGAATGTCTTCTTTTGGAAGTGTCTGTTCATATCCTTTGCCCCACTTTTGATGGGGTTGTTTGTTTTTTCTTGTAAATTTGATTGAGTTCTTTATAGGTTCAGGACATATTCCTCTGCCAGATGAGTGAGATGCAAAATTTCTCCCATTCGTTAGGTGCCTGTTCACTCTGATGGTAGTTTCTTTGCTTGTGCAGAAGCTCTTCAGTTTTAATTAAGATCCCATTGTCAATCTTGGCTTTTGTTGCCATTGTTTTGTGTTTTAGACATGATAGTCCTTGCCAGTGCCTATGTCCTGAATGGTATTATTCTGTTTGGCAGATCGACATGATTGCGTATATTTACCAGAAACCCCATTTCCTCAAGCCCCAAAATCTCCCCCTTAAGCGCTGAATAAGCAACTTCAGCGCAGATCGTCCAGGATACACCAATAAATGCCTGAAAAATCAGCAAGCCATTCTTATATCAGCCAGTAACAGAAGCAGAGAACCAAAATCATGAATGAATTCCCCATTCACACACAGCTCAAAGAGAAATAAAATACCTAGGAACCTCCAACTTAACAAAGGAGTAAAGGACGTCTTCAAAAGGAAGCAACCTAAAACCACTGCTCAGTGAAATAAAAAGGACAGCAAACAATGGAAGAACAATACTATGCTCATGTGGATAAGGAGAAACAATATTGTGAATAATGCGCCCGTACTGGCCCAAAGGGTAAAATCTTATAGATTCCAATGCCATCCCCATCAAGGCACCAATGGAATTTCTTCACAGAATTGGAAAAAAACTGCTTTAAAGTTCATATGGAACCAAAAAAAGACCCCGCATTGCGCCAGACACATCCTAGGCCAAAAAGAACAGAGCTGGAAGGCATCACGCTACCCTGCAACTTCATAGCTATATTAAAAACAAGGCTATCAATAAACGCCAAAACATCCCATGGTACTGTTACGCAACAACCCAGGATACTAGGACCCCGATGGAACAGAACAGAAAGGCCTCAGAATAAATACTCGCACATCTACAGCCATCTGATCTTTGAAAACCTGAGAAAAAACAGAGAAATTGGAAGAAGGATTCCTATTTATAAATGGTGCTGGGAAAATCTGGCTTAGCCATTGAAAGTACCAGAAAGCGAAACTGGACTCTTTCCTTACAGCCCACCTCTTATATCGAAAAATATAATTCACGATGGACCGTTAGAGACTTAAATGTTAGACCTAAAGCCATTAATACCTTAGAAGAAAACCTAGGTAAGATCGGCTAATTCTTTTTTGTATTTTTAGTAGAGGCGGGGTTTCACCATGTTAGCCAGGATGGTCTCAATATACTGACCTCGTGATCCACCCGCCTCAGCCTCCCAAAATCCTTGGATTACAGGCCTGAGCCACCGGGCCCGGCCTAACCTTCAAATATTTTAAGCAACAATTGGTGTTATAAATGTAAGCTTAAATCTGATTATATGTGATGGTATCAATGAAAATGACTACCTAGAGATGACTTACGATGAACAGATAGATACCTTGTAGATGAGCTATATTCACAGATGAATAAGCAAGGAAAACTCTCTCACAAACATCACTCTGAGTAACTACTGAGAAGTTGCTTTTGACAATCAGTTTTAAGCTGTGTTTAGTTTTAAAAACAACAAACTATTTTGAAGTGCACAATGCTGTATACAATTATGATAACATCACATTGTACCCTAAAAATGTATGCAATTATAATTCGTCAATTACAAAATAATAATAATTTTTAAAAAGAAAACAAAAAGATCCAACTGCATCTTCTAAATTGAAAAAATAAAAGAAATATGGTGTTATTGATGGCATCTCCTAGCTTATTCTAATTCTCATATATAACATTTCCTCAAATGTGTATCCTCCATAAGGAAAATCTACGTGGGTATACACTTGATCCCTGAATAACTCCAGGGTTAGGAACACTGACCCCTCCGTACCAAGTTGTCAAAAATCCACACATAACTTTTTACTCCTTAAAATATTAACTAATAACACCCTACTCTTGACTGGAAGCCTTATTAATAACATAAACAGTTGATTAATATGTATATTGTATGTTACATATATTATATACTATATTCTTACAATAAAGTGAGTTAGAGGAAAGAATCTTATTAAGATAGTTATAAGGAAGAGCAAATATACTTACTATTCATTAAGTGGGGGTGGAGCATAATGAAGGTTTTCATCCTTGCTGTCATCATGTTGAGTAACTGAGAAGGAGAAGGAAGAGGAGTGGTTGATCTTCTTGTCTCAAGGGTGGCAAAAGAAGAGGTGGAGGAGGTGGAAGCGGAGTCATGAGGGGCAAGTACACTCTGTGTAACTTTTATTGAAAAAAATCCACTTAGAGTATACCTGAATGGTTGAAATCCACTTTGTTCAGTGGTCAACTCTGTATATATTTATTTCTTTGTTTGTTTCATTTTATTTTCCTCTATGCTTCTGCAATAGCTCACTCTATTTGATTTCTGTTACAATACTGGGCTAGCATATCCATGGAGACAGGCCCATTAGCCTCTTTGAGAATTCGAGCTCTAGAAGCAGTGCATCACATTAGTGTAGACCCAAGAATGAATGATTCTTTTGCAAGCAGATTGCAGCTTAAATTTCATCTCTTGCCATTTGGTGGTTGTGTGGCATTGGTCAAATAACTTGATCTCTTGTGAACCTGTTTTCTCGTCTGTAAAATTGCTATAGTTTGCATTTTGGGGAGTTGTATTTGGCCTATGTGCTCTATGATTAGATTGTTTCTCTAGTTGCTAGCATAGATCTAGGGTAGCATAAATTGTAACTATTTTGCTAACATAGATCTAACATAGCATAAATTGTAACTTTAAGATTATTGCCATAAATTATTAAAATAATACCATATATGCCTGCTGCTTTGTAGTTTACAAAATGTTTCCTTGAACACTAACTTCAGTTTTGTAACATCACTGTGAGACAGAGTAGGAATAATTTTATTAAATGACAGAAGATTTGATTTAAAAGCACAACTTCTTACTTTTAGTGCAATCATCTTGTCCTTTCTCCTTACCACTTTTAGTGCAATCATCTTGTCCTTTCTCCTTACCACTTTTAGTGCAATCATCTTGTCCTTTCTCCTTACCTCTTTTAGTGCAAAATCGACTATAAGTTTGAGCAATTAAAAGTCTTATTTGATGCAGATCTGTTTTTATATTGTATTGTTTCAGTCTAAGTAATTTTTGAGCAAAGGTAGTTTGGTATCAAATAGGAAACTGCAGATATGTGTTGGCATCATTTAGGCCCAAGAAACATTCAAGAAACTTACTTGCAGTGAGTTAGGTATTTCAAGAAAGGGTTACTAGGCCTTCACAGTGCAAAGTAGAGGTGAACAGCCTGGGGTGGGAGTTGTGGATAAGAGGAGTGTATTCAGGGTCACCTCACTTAGCCCCCTGTACATAAGACTACCAGAATAGTACTGATATGGTTTGGCTATGTCCCCACCCAAATCTCACCTT